AATTAAATTTAAAAAAAAATAGGGGGAACTACCCACTCAGGCCCCCCTCCTGTCCCTCTCTTGGACAGGAGCTTTCTTTCTCTCAATAAATATATTCTGCTCATAACCTCCATTTGTTCCTAAAATTCATTCCACCAAGATCACTGGACAAAGGTATGAGTTTGCTTTTCTTTCATATAATTCTGGATTGGGACTTGCTTAGGTAACAAATTTTTACCATAGTTTTGTCCCACCTCCTGCCTACCTAAGCGAGTTCCCATTCTCTCCACCTTAGCCCCACATGGTTTTACACTATAAAAGTCCCTGGAAGAGACAGCTTCCTGGGGAACTACCCGCTCGGGCCCCCCTCCTGTCCCTCTCTTGGACAGGAGCTTTCTTTCTCTCAATAAATATATTCTCATAAAAAAGAATTAAATAGGGGCTGGAGAGATGGCTCAGTAGAATAAGCGCTTCCCTGGCAAGCACAAGGGTCTGAGTTCAATCCCCGGTTCTGCCAAAAAAAAAAAAAAAATTAAATAAATTTAACATCAAAAATGTATATTATGTCATCCTGTACTTCCTGTTGACCAGTCCCCCAGCACGAGCAGGCGAGGACTCTGAGGGTTATTGGGAGGGAAGGAACACAACTGCCACAGCCTGTGTAGGAATTGCTACAGCCCTGAAGAAGCTACTTCACCGCTGCAACTTCATTTACTGCTAATTAAAACTAGCGCTATGTATGAATATTTAAAAAGAACAGACAGAAGAGGGCCAGGCATGGTGGCACTTGGGAGGCTGAGGCAAGAGGATCACTGAGAGTTCAAGACCAGCCTAGACTACAAAGTGAGCTCAAAGCCAGCCTGCACTACCTAGCGAGACCCTGTCTCGAAAAGATTTTAAAAAATAAAATACAGAAGAAACACTTTCTAGGGCTGGTAAGATGGCTCAGTGGTCTAAAGCACCTACTTAGAACAAGCTTAGCAAAACACAGGGACCGCGGTTCAATCCCCCAGCACCACATGCCAGCCAGCCCCGCCCCCTGGTGGGCTGAGCTGGCCACACACACACACACACACACACACACACACACACACACACACACACACACACACAATAATAAATTTTAAAAAATAAACATACAGACAGGCTTGGTAGTGCATGAGTATAATCCCAGCACTCAGGAGGCTGAGACAGGAAGATTCACTCCCTGCAACTTCAAGGCCAACCTGAACTGCATAGTAAGACCCTGTCTAAATAAATAAACTGACCGTATAATAAAAAAAATTAGTTAAAAATTAAGAAAGCTTGGGGATGGGGAGATGGCTCAGTAGGATAAGCGCTTCCCTGGCAAATGCAAGGGCCTGAGTTCAATCCCTGGTTCCACAAAAAAAAAAAAAAAAGAAAAAGAAAGAAAGCTTGTTCTCAAGGTGGTACACACTGGTAATTCCAGCACTGTAGAAGGCTAAAGCAGAATATCCAGGTTGGAGCTTAGCCTGGGAAACTAGTGAGACATTGTCAAAATAAAAATGTAGGTCAGTGTGAAGGTCCTGGGTTCAAGCCTCATTCCCACCTAAAACAGACATTAGATTCGTGGATTTCTCCATTGCCTTATAGTTTTAGAGGTCTACTACTTAACCATTTGGTCCATTTTGTTCTTGTGGACTATTCTGATAAACTTTAGCCTGGACTGCAGCCTCTACTCCGTAGCTATGCCAGTTGGTCCCATTCATTGACCCAGATTTTCTCCCCTGTGCTGGGGATGGAAACCAAAGACCACGCTAGGCAATTGCTCCATCACTGAGCTGAAGGCCTGGCTGCCAGATTTAGCAAGTGCTGTAACTCTCGTAGGCACTCTTCTGGTTGTGTTTTCATTTGTTTTGTTTTGTTACAGGATGGGGCCTGAAGGTAGGACCTTCACACTGAGCTGCATCCCAAGTCATCCATTCACTCACTTGTTCATCCATCCATCCATCCATCCATCCATCCATCCATCCATCCATTCATTCGAGACAGTACTTTGTTGTGTACTTCAGGCTGGGCTTGAACTCACTGTGTAGCCCAAGTTAGCCTCAAATTTACATCAATCCTCCTGCCTCAGCCTCCTGAGGGCTGGGATTACACGTGTATGATAGGTACTTGATGCAGCAGAGAAACAGGCAGAAAGGAGAAGGGAAAGAGGCTTTATTTTCTTTGAGAACATGGGAGAGAATGTGGGGAAGGATGAGGAATTCTCTCTTGATTGGAACGAAGGGACACTGAGGGTTTTATGGCCTTTTGTCGGGGTGGAATTTGGACGGGATGCTTAGATACACCTGAGGGAGCTGATTGGGGTCTTCCCTGAGGAGGTAGGAAGGGTGGAAGTAAATCATATCATGGGCTAAGCTGGAGAAGAAGGAGGAGGTGGTCTTAGGGAAGATGAGCCTTTGTTTTAAGGACATCAGCCAAATAAGATGACCACCATGATGATTTCAGCAATTCATACTAGGGCCAGAACCTATCAGTGTGCACCACCACCCACCACCATTCAGAAGCCTCTCTCTCTCTCTCTCTCTCTCTCTCTCTCTCTCTCTCTCTCTCTCTCTCTCTGACATAGTCTCACTAAACTGCTCAGACTGGGCTTGAATTTGTGATCCTCCTGCCTCAGCCTCCCAGAGTGCTTGGACTGCAGGTGTGCATGAGCACGCCAGCCTCCCTAAACGTACTGCACTTCCTCTGTGTGTCAGCCTGCATGTGAGATGTTTCACAGGTCTAGTCACTGCTGAGGAGACAGAGCCCCAGCACTATTGTGGAAAGGTCCCACCTCCAGGAAGGCTGAGAAAGGTGACCCCTTGCCTTACCCACAAGAGTGCAGGGAAATTGTTAGGTTCTCCTCACTCTGAAACTCTGCTTGTTTTTTGTTGTTATTGCTGTTACTGGCTTTTTTGTTTGTTTGTTTGTTTGTTTGTTTTCGGGGGGTTTTTTTGGTACTAAGGATCAAACTCAGGACCTTGAACTTGCTTATGCCACTGAGCTATCTCCCCAGCTCAAGCTGGTCTTGAACTGAGTAGCCCAGGCTAGCCTCCAACCCTTGGGAATTGTGCTTCAGCTTCCCAAGTGCTGGGATTACAGGTGTACACCACCATGCTCTACTATGTATGTTTAATTAAATTGAGGTCTTGGGGGCATGTGTCACTTGCTCCCCAACAGCCACACAGCGTAGACCCGAGGTGCTGCAACCTCTGCCCTCCACCTCCCTTCCCTTCCAGGCCGCTGGGTGTGCCCTGATGTAGCCCATGGTTTTAGCTTGGGGTTCCCTGGTGAGGCCTTGGGAGCACATCTTACACTGACTGTCGTCCCAGGATACTCTTTTTCTTCTCATTGCTGCGGTGCAGATAATTTTTAAAACTACCTCAAGCCAAATTCATTGACTGAGTAAAGGATGACTGCAGCCCCCTGCGGAGACCCCGTGGGCTCGAGGGCGGGCGGGGCCGCTCCCGCGGGTGGTGCTGGCACGTTCCTGCACCCGGACCACGCGGCGGGCGGGCGCAGGCGGAGCAGGGCCTTAACGGCCTTGTTGGGAGCCGCTGAAGCCCCAGACCCTAACGGTTGGCACCACCGGTCGGTGGCAGGGGGCCCCCACTGCTCCGTGGGGCTCGCTCCAGCCACGGGAGGGACACGGAAGCCCAGCAGCTGCAGCAGACGAGGTGCGTGGTCCGAGGGCAGGTTTGGGGGACAGGGTCTAGCCGCGTAGCCCAGGCTGGCCTGAACGTCACGGTGATCCTCAGCTTCGGCCTCCCTTTGTACTGTGAGCTGTCTCGCTGACACATCTGCCACTCTGAACCCTCTTAGCCGTAGGCCAGAGCAGACGAGGCCAGAGAAAAGCGGCTTCCACCGGGAGGCTAGGAGGATGGCTTGGGGCCATTGTCCCCATGGTGAGCCCACTGTCAGGCTGTGAAGCAGACACAGTGAGCTTGGCTGTGTCGAGTGTGGCCAAATGGGCCACATGAAATCACAGACTCAGCCTGAAGTGGTGGCGCAGGCCTGTGATCCCACCATTCAGAAGGCTGAGGAAAGAGGATCCTCGTGAGTTCCAGGCCAGCCTGGGCTACATGGTGAGTTCAAGGCCGGTCTGAACTATATAGCAAGATCCTGTCTCAACAAACAAATTCACAGATTTCTGTGGCAGCAGATGGAGACGTTATCCTAGTGGATGACAAAGCCAGGACTCGGGCCAGGGAGGGTGGAGGTGCTCCTTTGCTATACTCAGCCTGTCTCCCCTAGTTCTCTCCAAAACCCTTAACCTGATCAAAACCCCTCCAGCAAGCTAGTGAGCAAGTGGGGAGAGCAGCAGTGATGGCCCCAGAACCGAGTCTGTCTAGGAGACAGACTCCTATGGAGACAGATTCCTACGGAATCTCACCCTTCACAAGTACTTGCTGGCAGACTCCCAGTACTCTGAGTGACTGAGGCAGGAGGGTCCCAAGTTCAAGCCCAGCCTGGGCAACTTAGTGGCTTTGGGAGACCCTGTATCAAAGTGAAAATATGAAAACACTCCCGAGGATATAACCTGACATGAAGGTCCTGGGTTCCACCTCCACTATCACACACACACACACACACACACACACACACACACACACATAAAGGGAAAGAAGACCTGCAGATAAAGTTCAGTGGCAAAGCACCTACTTAGCAAGCGCAAGGTCCTGAGTTCAATTCTCGGTTCTGGAAAAAAAAAAAAATACAGAGGGACTAAATGGCCCGCCTATGATTGTCCTACAGGAAGCTGAGCCTTGCTGAAGAACTGCAAGAGAGCCATTCTCCATGCCAGGGACAGAAGGGGATAAAAAGATGGCAAAGAAAGAAAGAGTGAGTACCGCAGCAGGTCAGAACGCCTACGCTGCCGGCACCCTTCCTACATGCATGGCTTCGGGGAGGCCACAGCAGGGAGCTATGAAAGGAAACTACTTAGTGGTTTTGTTTGTCTTTTTGAGACAGGGTTTCCCTGTGTAGTGCAGCCTGACTGTGAACTATCTGTGTAGCCCAAGCTGGGCTTGGCCTTGCGGCGATCCTCCTGCCTCAGCCTCCTGGGTGCTGGGGTCACAGGCATGTGCCACCACGTGCAGCACTAGTAATTGACATGGGCCTTTGTGCTTAATATGTATTATCCACGATAAAAAGCACGGTCAGATACTCATATTCAACATTATGGTCGCAAACAGGACTCGGCACCGATGATACCTAGAGGGCAGAGGTAATCTGCGAAAAGGGCTGGACTGATTCCTCCGCCCAGACCTGGATCTGCCGGGCACGGGCGGGGATAGGTGGAGCAGCGCCCCCTGCTGGAGACATGCTCAGTACCCGCAGCAGGGGCTGCCAGGGGCCAGAGCGTGGAGACTCCACCAACTTGCTCTCCCGGGTTCACTGGCGTCTTGAGTGATTGTTATCATTAGAGAAGCTGGGACCTGGGAGAAAGGAAGCGACGCTTCTTCTTTAACATATTTTCAAAAAAGGGCATCTTTGAGAGACTCTAAAAAGTCAACACATTAAAAAGGCGATACCATCCTGTAGCAGTTGTAAGACAGCTTTGGAAGGACAGTAGAAACCCAGAACTGTAAGAGCAAGATAAGCAGTTACTGGGAACGAACTGGACTTAGGGCCTTCACACTAAACCATGGCCCCAACCCCCCTTTTTACTTTTCTGTATTTCGGTCAGGGACTGCAGGATCTACATCGTAGCAATTCTCCTATTTTCAGCTTCTCAAGTGCTGGGATTACAGGCGCACCCCACCACAACCAGTGTCAGTCACCATCTCTCAGTGCCCTGGGGGCGGGCGCTGGCAGGCCAGGGATCCAACCCCGGCCACTGTGCTCTGCCTAAGCAGGCGCTTTAGTCCGCTGAGCTATCAGGCCGACCCGCCAACCACCTTTTTATTTATTTTTGTTTCTTATTTTTGTGAGACTGAGTCTCCCTATGTAGTTCAGTCTGGCCTTGAACTCGTGGCAATCCTCCTGCCTCAGCCTCCCAAGTGCCACTGGGGTTAAAGGTGTGTTCCACCATGCCCTGGTTTACTATAATACTTTTTTAAACTTCAAATACTATTTCATCAGGCCCTATACAGATACAACAAAACACCAGAAAAGATCCTGAATGTTATCAGTCATTAGGGAAATATGAATGAAACCACACTGAAGTGTCACTGTGTACCTATGAGAATGGCTAAAGAGGGGCTGGAGAGATGGCTCAGTGGTCTAAAGCACCTACTTGAAACAAGCTTGACATAGCACAGGGACCGCGGTTCGATCCCCCAGCACCACATGCCAGCCAGCCCTGCCCCCTGGTGGGCTGAGCTGGCCACACACACAATAAATAAATAA